GTCTTTCCTATTGGCGATAGTATTTGTGGTGTTTCCCTTATCCATTAAAATCCCTTATTCTGATCGTCTTCCAGTAATTCCAATAATACATCCAAAACATGGCCAAAAAATAAAAATCAGGATAAATTTAGCAACTTCTCCGCTAATTGCTATAGCAATCTTACTAGCTACAAAAAGTATTGAATTTCAAGTAGTAGTAATAGGGTTTGTAGGTGGCAAGGGGATTCAACCATATAGTATAATGATCTTATTTTTTGCTTTGGTAAGCCTACATTCATTAAAAATCCTATCACTAAAGAAATTTTTTATTCTAATATTGTTTTAAATCAAAAAAAAAAAAAAAAAAAAAGGCTTATATATGCATCTCATTAGATTTAACTGGCTTTGTCGAATATTGTGCTTATGCCTTCTCAAATAGAAGTGGAAACGATGGAAGAAAACTATTCACTTATTTTTATATCTTGTTTACTCTTATGAGTGCTTTTACAAGTAATGATGTAGTTATCTTGACCGGAACTAGTAGGCATTCATTTATTCAATCTATATGTGTATATATGACTTTTTTTAAACTTTGGGCGAGGATATCTCAGTAACTACCAAGCTAAATTCGATAAATATTTTTTTAAAAAAAATTCTATAAATTCATAGGATTCAAACAAAAAAAAGTTTATCGAATTTGGCCTAGCAGTTGCTGAGATATCTTCACTCAAAGTTTGAAAAAAATCAAAGCATCTATCAAAACAAACTGCAAAATTTTCTTTAAACTTTGAGCGATGATATCTCAGCAACTACTAAGTTAAATTCGATGAACTTTTTTTGTTTGAATTCTATGAATCTATAGAATTCAAATAAAAAAAAGGTTATCGAATTTGGCTCAGTAGTTGCTGAGATATACTCGCTCAAAATTAAAAAAAATTTAAATGTCTATCTCAAAACAGAAACTGCGCTAAACTTTTTCTAAACTTTGAGTGAAAATGTCTCAGCACCAACCAAGCCAAATTCGATGAACTTTTTTTTATTTGAATTTTATGAATTCATAGAATTCAAATAAAAAAAAGTTCATCGAATTTGGCTGCTGAGATATTTTTACTCAAAGTTTAGAAAACATTTTGGCGCAGCTTCTGTTTTGATAGACGTTTTGAATTTTTTTTTAAACTTTGAGTGAAGATATCTCAGCAACTACTAAGCCAAATTCGATAAACTTTTTTTTATTTGAATTCTATAGATTCATTGAATCCAAACAAAAAAAAATTCATCGAATTTGATTTAGTAGTTGCTGAGATATTTTCGTTCAAAGTTTAAAGAAAATTTTGCATAGTTTTTGATAGATGTTTTGATTTTTTTCAAACTTAGAGTGAAGATATCTCAGCAATTTTTTTTTTTTTGAATTCTATGAATTTATAGAATTTTTTTAAAAAAAATATTTATCGAATTTTGCTTAGTAGTTACTGGAAGACGATCAGAATAAGGGATTTTAATGGATAAGGGAAACACCACAAATACTATCGCCAATAGGAAAGAC